GCACGGGTTGTGACAAGTTGGCTACATGACCTAAATGAATATGGTACTCTAGCATGACATCTCTTCGAAGTTAATCTGGTAAGATCCTTCTTGAGCCACCTATAATTTGCAGCTGAAAATCTTTTCAAATGTGGCAAGGTCTCTTGCAGCCCTCTGTAATCATGGGCAACGATTTTAGCCAAATTGAGAGTAAACGTCGTACAATGCACATTGAAACCGCGTCTCAAGTTGATCAGCAGTGGAGCAGGAAGAAGACGTACCTCTCGCTTCACTTTGAACCAGCGGTGAGACTGGCGACAGCCGTTAAGGTTTACAACTGCGCTCAGCTGTTGAGATTTACAACTGCTCTCAGCCGTTGAGGTTTACAACTGCAACTGCTTTTGAATCAGCCGTACGTTAACATTCTCTCATCTTGTCTTAAACCAGAAGAAACGGAGTAAATGAAGATGCGTATCGCTTCGTTTGCTGCCTTTCTGAAGCAATAAGTGTAACAGAGGCTAAAGCATCCGCCTGCCCATACACATAGCCCTCAAACGGCCAGGTGAATTCCAGGCACGGCTTCCACAGCACCCGCCGAATGGACAATTTGGCCAGGAGGGATCCAGTTTGATCAGCGACGCGGACCCTGCTCCGACCCAGCCAAACAAGCACGAAGGCTGACTTCAACGAACGTGACCCAACGATTGCCCCTGACCGGCCCCAGGTGGGAGCTCTGTATGCGTGGAGCCGCCTATAGATTTCACACCCACTGCAGGACGGGAGGGGGCGGGGGGCGAGCAGGAGCGCGTAAGAGACATAGTCGGCCGAGTGACGAACTTTGGAAGCTGAGGCTCATACTTGCGCGTTACGCATTGCATAACTACTACTCCATCGCCGCGACCGGGATGCAAGTTACGAGACTCATATCCTGCAACTGGTATACACTTGCAACTTATTTAGCCGTCGTTGCTGGGCGACGGTGTACTCCCGCGTTCACTCGCCGGGTTCCGGAACAAAAGCCTGGGGGAGACTGACTGCGGTCGCACGGCTACGCGGTGTGCTCGTGTCCGGTATTGATCCAGCGCCGCTCTTCGTGAGGATGCTGTATTCGGCACACTGTGAGGATGCTGTCCTCGGCATGCTATGATTTTGAGGACACTGTACTCGGAACACTCTGCTTGTAAGAATACTGTGCTCGAAACGCTCTACTTGTGAGAATACTGTACTCCGCACGCTCTGCTTATGGTACTGTACTCGGCACACCCTACTTGTGAGAACACTAATCGGCATGCTTTGCTTGTCAAAGCTCTGGCCGACAACCAGCGCGGCCTTTTGAGCCATGTTTTTGAGCCCTGCTTGTTCCAATCAGTCCACCAACCAGCACTGGTGTTTGCTTGGTTCTGATGACTTCGTTCTGTTCCACCTGGCCTGTCCTGGCAAGCGCTTTGCTTGCGTCTTCCTGTTTGTTTCTATGAAGCACCAAGACAAACAAAGCGGCAACAGGACAGAGTTTTAAAAACAGTTGTTGCAATTGTCAACTTCAAACGCTCAGTGGCACGTGGCAGTGAGGGGTGAGATACAAAATGCAAAATACTTACACATCCTGCAGCCGTCAGTCATTCGATACTAAGCCATCCTTGCCCCTCGGTACCCATAGCATGTAAAACTAATATCGTAGATGTTCACATTGGGTTCCGAAGCGTTGGTGGGCCATCTAATTGTCGGCAGTTAGCAGAGGAAATATCAGCACGATTAGAGCACTAGTGAATGAGCCACGGCCAGGAGTAATATCAGCACAATTAGAGCACTAGTGAATGAGCCACGGCCGGGAGTGATATCGATCAATTGCATTGCATGGTTGCCTTTGGTGGTCCATGTCTCATAAGAGGAAGATTAAGCGTACACATCGCTCATGTCGGATTAAACCAGGTGCTAGTTTTATAATGTTAGGCTCGTTGTTTATTACTTGCATTGACATTGTGACACAGATAACCTGCATTGCATGGCCTAGAATAACACGAGGAAAGGAAAACATCGTGGTTTTGCTTCCTGAAATGAACTTTTGAGTCAGCAGGCATTTGTCATTCTTTCCATCATATCAATCGTCAGGCGAAGTTTTGTCATTCATTAGGACCGTTTCAATCAAATAATAAAAAGGAAAATGAGTGTAGGTATCTGCCAGTCTTATTAGAAACACCTGTCTATATGACTTTATGCCCTCAACATATCTGCGCTGTTTTTGACACGATCAGTCCATCGTAAAGTAAGCCTGTCCGATTTCATTTGTTTCCATTTCATGCCATTTCATTAAGCCAAATGGTCCGGGGAATTTCGATAGCAGTTTGAAGCATATCCCTCAAATATGCAGAAAACGACCTCCTCCCTGCATTTAGCCTCCTTTTTCAAGCTGGAGGGACTGCAGCCCCACCAAGTCAAAAGGAAACTACAACCCTGAACAGGTCATAAATGGCCTCCCACACCGGAAACAACAAACATCATCTCTTGTCTGTTGTCGTCAACAGGTACTGGAGCAACAGCGATGTACTATGCTACATTAGCGGTAACTGGAGTACGTTGTAAGCTGCGAAAATTGCAGACTTTCGCTGTTCTCGTTTCATGACAAGTCACAATTCATGGTCAAAAGATAAAAACGTTTCTGAAAAAGAAGTTCCAGCTTCTTTAAGGCATGTGTTGGTAACATGCGAATGCTCACCCACGAATGCACTTAAGTTATTCATCCTATTTTATGCGTGATATACACCACCAAGCATAGCCGTTGGGTGTGGTTCGTAAAATAAGTTAGTTGCTAAAAAACGTCGCAATTATAGCCTAGCCAGCATTGTTCTGATCACAGAGAATTGTGAAGACCCAGATTTAGATTATCACGTTAATTTGATGACAAGTTTGCATAGGCATTTAATGGGCTAGGGTGCAGGAAACCAATTGATCTATTGTTAAATACCTCAGTCATCGTATCAACACCGTAACAGCAGAGCGAGAAGTGCGTCCAGGTCAAATGCCGTCTTCAGTACAACAATGCACACCTGGTCATCTAAGACGACATAAACACTAACACCCATATGACCTTCCCTTTCCCGCCGCAGACACCGCCATGGCACACTTCATGGCGTCGGTTCGCACAGCCTCCGTTTTTGATCACCTTGGCCATTTCGTTCACCGATGTTACGACAACCCAGCCTACGATTTATCGGCGCAGACGCTGGTGTGCAGATTAGGGGAGATGGCACTCTGCGGACACGGCAAGAAGGTTCACAGACCCGCTCAAGCCGCGCGCTTTTCCCGGTCGCAGGCACCGTCGCCACACATCTGAGCGAGTTAGTTCGCAGCGCGGTCCTGTGCGCCCACCTCTGCTGTCTCGGCGCCCGGCGCTCGGAGCACCTGCACCTGATGGTCGAGCTTGTTCTGCCGGATCAGAGTGGAGATGGGGTCCGCGTCGTCCGGAGCCGGGTCGAGGAACGCACCGGTGCCGTCGGCGACGACCGACTTTCCGCGTCGGCGGCGGAGCGCCACGAGCATCGCCGTTCCCAGAAGTGCTGCCGCCCCCGCCGCTGCCGGAACGCCCAGCACCAGTGGTAGAAGGTCATTGGTAGGGGGCGACTCTCGAGCTCCCTCTCGGCCACTGCTTGAGAGGTCATTCGAAGTCGCCACCGCCTTCTCCGGGAAGTCGTGCGGAGTTGGCGCGCCGTCCTCCGGTAAGGTATTGGAAGTTCCCGCATTGCCATCGGAGAAGGCAGCCAGACTCGCTGTTCTGTCCTCGGTGAAGGCAGCTGAGGTATCCGCTCTGTCATCGGGGAAGGCAGTTGGGACATCCCCTCTGTCATCGGGGAACGCAGTTGAGGCATCCCCTCTGTCATCGGGGAATGCAGTTGAGACATCCCCTCCGTTATCGGGAAATGCAGTTGAGGCATCCCATCTGTCATCGGGGAATGCAAATGAGACACCCCCTCTCGCATGGGGGAATGCAGTTGAGGCATCCGCTCTGCCATCGGGAAATGCAGTTGAGGCATCCCATCTGTCATCGGGGAATGCAAATGAGACACCCCCTCTGGCGTGGGGAAATGCAGTTGCGGCATCCCCTCTGTCATCGGGGAAGGCATTTGAGGCGTCTGCTCTGTCATGGGGGAATGCAGTTGAGGCATCCGCTCTGTCATCGCGAATGTCAGTTGAGGCATCCGTTCTGTCTGCGACGGAGAAATTTGTCGTCCATGATCCATCCTGTGGGATGTAGCTTGCGGTCGTTGCTCTGCCATCAGGGACGCCACTCGGGTTTACCACGCTGCTTTCTGGGGAGACATTAATTGTCTCCGTTCTTTTTTTAGCAAAGAAGACACTTGTGGTCACCGCTGCCGCCGCCGGCAGGGCTGTTGAAAACATCTCTGTGGTCGGAGGGATAACGCTGGACTTCGTTGATGCATCCTCCGCTAACACATTCGGAGTCGCCTCTCCTTCCCTGGAGGAAAAGGTCGCACTTGTCTCCGACTCCTCTGGTAAGGCCCTCTGGTCAGCCTCCCTCTGTATAGTCCCTGTAGCGTGCCCGGGGAAGACTACCCTGGTTACACTCGGCTCTTGTGAAAACTGTTCACCGACTCTGCCTACGGTTTCATTCTGTCGGGCGGGTGCAAAGGGAGCCCTGCTCCCGCCGCTCGGCGCGACCGTCACTCCGCGCACCCATGGCGCGCGATTCCGATCCGCAGTCGTCGAGTGTGTCCCTGTCCGTGCCGCTGTTGTAGGTGACTGTGTCGTTTCAAAGGCGCTGCTCGGAGGGCTGGCGGTGGCATGGCGATCCAAAACTTCGGTTGTCATTGGAATGGCATCGGGTGGGTTTGGTGGTCCGGGTGATGCCTTGTCGTCGACTGGGACTGTTCTCCCATCTCCCATGCCGCTTGCCAGAGCTTTCTCACAGTTCGCTTCGCCGGACGTCGAAGGTCTACAGGATGTGTCGTTGCCTGCTCTCCTGGGTGCATCCCCGTGCTGAACATCCCCGGTCACCACGCTTACCCCTGAAAGACAGATATCCACACAGTTAAGATTTGAAAGAAGACAAAAAACGATTGTAATGCTGTTGACCTAGTATGCGTACCGCAACAGCAGAGCGAGAGGTGCGTCCAGGTCAGCTACCGTCTTTGAACTTTGCGAACTTACTCCACGATTTACGACTTCAGCACCTGGGAGAGATAATTTGTCCAAGTACTCCAAGTACAAAAAAGCACGCCTGTCCATTTGAGCCGACACGAACACTGGCACCCTTATCACATTCCCCTTTCCTGACACGAATACTAATGACACACTTGATGACATTAGTTCGTATGACGTCGTTGATGTCGATGACGTCTATATGCGCTTCTGTTGATCTGGTGCTGCTACGTACACCTGTCTTCACCTTCACCGCGACCATCACGCAGTCAGCGTGCTCGACAGGCACGCAGGTACCATACCGTACATCTGACGCGTCGGAATGATTGGGAAAATCACCGCCACGCGCCTGGCTGGCGCATGGGTTGAATTGCTTGCTGGAAAGATCGCCTATAAGGATATGCCTCAAAAATGTTCCAAGATGACATGTTGGGACTTAACACGTTGCCTGCTTCCTTTTACTGGCGTCGTTAGCCTTATTAGAGTCATCGTCCAATAGCTCGTATTATCAGTACCGCTTATTTGCACCTTTTATGAAATATTATTTTCATGAGTTTTGCGGTCTGATATATTGACGACACACCTGTGTTTTACAGACGTCTATTAAAGCAAACGGTTAATCTTCAGCCATATTCCCTCGTTAGCTCCATACACTAAGCATTTCAAGAGACTAAAACGGCGAATTTCTTTGCCGGCGTGATTCAAAAGCTGTTGATGCTGTTCGCTCCTACGTTCCTAGGCCCTTACGTGTGAGCATGCTTTGAGTAGCACCGACATAAGTTTTCCAGGAGCAATCGACGATGGGACAGACCGTGAATATTCGGTGAGAGGTGATTTTATAGAGGAGTAGTGTGCCTGACACCTCAGATTTGATTTGGAGCTAATAAGCTGAATGGTTTTAAGCTCAAGCTTCAGCTCCTTTAAACGGTGTTAATCAGAAATGCAACGACCATGGTGGGAGGTGCGGTGCCGCCGAGGGTACGTACGTTTAGAAATTGGCTTGTGAAATAACCTAACGTCGGGAGTTTGGTTTGGTACGAGTCCATGCCCTTTCAGACAGTAACGAGCATTGCAGGGCCATTGAATAAAAAAGAGTAGCCAGTTCTGGGGCAAAACGACATACATCTGTGTGTCCTGGGCTGCAGAGAACCGGCCCACACAGCGGCCCCTCTTCGGAGAGTGTACAGGCGCGCGGGCGGGGCGTCTGCCACAAGAGGTCACCCGTGGCTGGAGCATGCAGATTGCTTCGGATGAAGAGCGCGTGGCGAGGATGCAGGATGAAAGGAGAATCGCGAAACAGGGTGGATAAGCGTTGAGTATCCGATAGGCGCTGAAGGGGACCGGTAATTTATTTGACGTGAACACTTATAACGGTCATGTCCTTAGTCGTGTGATGACCTTAATTGCGTCTTGTATTAAGGACATCATTAGCCGTCATCCATCTATTCCTTTGCAATGGAAAAAATACGCGAAGAAATCGGGCGACTGAAAAATTAATTCCAGAGGTCCAATGCCAACCATGCAATGTCATACATTAACACGCGCCAGGGAGGCCGGATAGATACCCTTCGCATCGGGTGGGGTGGGGGAGTCAATTTGACCCCCCCTGCTGAGATCTCGGGAACTAAGAAAGCTAGAGACACCAAATTTCCAGGGTGTCTTGACCTGTACGTGAACTCACTTAGGCCAAAGTTTGAGGTTCCCAGGTCATGACCGTCAGATCAAGTAAGGTCAAACAAGGTCAAATTTTAGGTTGGTCACCAAAGTGCCCCCAGAACCTAGGAAACTGTTTCTAAGCAAAAGGTCAAAAGCCCATTTGAGGTCAGTGACCTTGTTTGACCTTTTGAAGGTCATGGTGACCAAAATCATACAAGTCTGCTCTGAGTTTTGCATTTGAATAAGCGACAAAGATTACGCTAGGCAGTATGTTCATAAAACAAAATGTCGACCCGGGTCATCTTAGGTCAATGGCCTTTTCTGACCTCTAAGGAGTCAATGGAAACTGTATAATGCGGTTACTGCTGTCGATAAATTCGAAATGAGCACCACAAACTATCCCACACAGCAAGACCTAGAACAATAAATCGAGTTGGTTGTGACCTTGGTCTGACCTTCAAACCTGACCTTAGCTCAACGTAATTTGCGCATTCAATATTTGTAATGTCTAAGAAAGCATCTCAGAAATATATGGCTTCGTCAAACACTCCGTTATTGTATCCGATTGGACGATTCCCTAGAAATCCCCTTCGCTGAAACTATGCCCTGACTTCCACCCACCATAGGTCAGCGGCCTTACAAGGTACATCTAAATGTTTGTGTCGAACGATCTGCTATTCAGTTGTCTACAGCTATGCAAAATTTGGCGCGGCTACGCCGCGCCGTTCGAAAATGAATTCTGGAGAAAGCCTTCGGGGGGGGGGGGTCAATTTGACTCCCCCCCCGCCCACCCGAGCGCGTGTTTAAGTGAGTGTGCCACTTTTCTACGCATTCCAATCATAGATGTAACGCAACCAATTTGGCCGGTGGAACCGGTGTTCTCGAAATTTTTTTCAATAGCTCAGAATTTCGCTCTTAGCTGCAGTACGTAGGCAAAATACGTTCCGCTCCAATTTGGCTCGCTGGTTACCACTTTGAAAGCAAGATTTTAAATTGCTTTACTTTTGCCAATGTACGTTATGTAATTTTCGCAATGCACTATTTGGAAAAACTGTTTGTGTGATAAATGCCATGGCACCTGCAAGCACTCAATTCAGGGTAACCGGCACACGAGTATCAGGTCAGGAACACGCGAATTCAACGAAGCGTCATACTTCAAGGCTGTTCAGCGCAGTGAAAATGTAAGATATGTTGATCAGCTAGTTACCAAATGAGTGCTAACCTCCCCCTGATTTGCCGTTTTTTGCGCGGCTTGATAGGGGGGGGGGGGGTCGATGCGAGACTTCCCGTTTCCAAACTAAAAAGATGGCTCAACAGGAAAGACGAGTGGATTAGTTTTGACGAGATCTCGCGATTCGCACTAAATTTATGAACCAAGGTTAGTAACTGACCCCATTATGCCTGGCCAAACGTCAAGCTTCCCAGAAAATCGCATTTGTCAGCTTTAAAACATCATACACACCGAACCATGCCTTGTAGAGACACGGCGCTTAAACGAACGTGTTCCGTGTTCAGTCCTGAGACAACGAAGTATGTTTGTATGCTTATTGAGCGTATATTTATGACACATGGCTCCGTTAATGTAACAGTGTAAGCCTACCGCGAGCATTCCGCGGCATTGTCGGCTGCCGCCTGCCGCCCGCGCCGAACTTAAGTCGCCGTGCAGTGCTCCCTAAAAACCGCCGCTGCTACGAAACAAGACAAGGAAGTAAAACGCTCTTTATGTTAAAACACGCGGATGTCCTCTAGGGGCAATAAATGCCCATGGGTTTCTGAAGATTTGGGTGCGATTGCACAACATACCAGAGAGATATCCTTGAAAAACCTTCCGGAACTGCACTGACCCCCCTCCCCCCCTCCATCAAGGCAAGGGTTATTGACTCCCTTACAAGATTGAGAGTTTGAAACAATTTGCCACTTTTTCATGAATATTTCGGTCACACCCACGACTGCATACGAAACCTAAAAGAGAAAGAACACCACCAAGACACGCCAGAGTTGACAGTGACACAGATGCTTCAACATTCACACGCGACGAACTATGTACAACGCCTCACCATTTACACTAGCGGAGAAAAATATCACATGAGTGACTTCGCAATGCTCAGAATCTGCAGCATACGGGGTACACCATGCCGAAGCTTTTTTGTTAAGACAAGATTTTCAGTTAAAAAATGCAAAACCTCCACAGATTTTCGGTGAGCATAACCCTTGGTTCTCTGCAATATCCAGATGCGAGAGCGATTTCTTGACGTCAGATATCGGGGCCGTCATGGATCGTGACGCGACGGTCGCCTACAGAGCTTTCAGCGGCTTTGTTTTGGACAAGCATGCGCTCGTTAAACCTTCGTCTTGTTGGTCGCTCTTACTCCCCTACGCAAGTTACATTGCACCTTTGCTCATACCTGTGACACATGAAACACAGAATGCAACACCAGACGTCAGTCTTTTCCCGTTGAGCCCCTCTGCGGACGCATTATACGCTCACATCACACATATCATACACGTCACACACACACGATGTGTTCTTGTTTTGACACGCTGCTTGTATGTTAGGCTTTGTATTTTTACAACAAAGCTCGCTTTTGCGCACATTGTCGAATCGTTTAAGAAAGGGTAAGAAACCCATAAAGATTGTCAGATCCAGATTGCTGCCGCGGCTGGTGGTAGGACGGATGAGGACACCAGCGGCGGCAATAGTCTGGATCTATTGTTCTTTTGTAGCTATTGATAAAAACAAGACCGTAGCTGTATGAGGGATGTAACAAAGATATGCCTTCGCAGTCACGCCAATTCCGGAGACGCGCTTGGATTCACATTTGCCCAAAATATTGTGCATGTACCCCATTTCACATAAGGGTAGTAGTATAATTCATAAGGTTACAAGAGCCTATTGAGAAAAACAAGTTTAGCAAATCATTGCTTCAGATCTAGGAGCGTCGCGAGATATTTACTTGCTGATTCATTTCTTTATCAAAATTTTTTGAGTTATTTTTCAAATGACTGAGAGAGTAATGGATACCACGTTCTGCACTGGGGGAGGGGCAGCCCAACATTGATGGGTTTACCCCAGCATCGCGGAGCCCGGCTCAACATTGCGGGACCATGGCCCTTACAAAAGAAAAAAATACAAATTTTCGTCGTCGCGAAACAAATGCCAATTAGCGTGGGGCAGGCACTGAAAAATCGATGTCGTGAGCGCGCGCTCTAC